AAATACAATCTTGAAACATATTGTTTGCTTTTATCAAATTTAATCTATTCCCTTATAAATTTTAAACCTAATGTATATATTCGATATTAAATTAATCACAGTTATTAAAATTAAATTGAATTTAGTTCTTTTTTTTTCAGATATTACAAACCAAATTTCAAATTCTCACTCCTTCAAGTACATTTTTTTGGATGATTGAGGATATTTTTTCAAATCAATAATCCATTTCTTGGGTAGTTTTATGGGCAGTGAATTATCATCAATTTTAATTATCACTAATAACTGAATGAAGAAGATTAAAAAGAAATTTTGTAAAGTTTCTTCCGATGATGTATGTTTATGAGATCAGTTCCTTAATAAAATTAATAATACAATTTACTATATTACCTATTTTTTTTGAAAAAAACTTAATAGTGGTGCAATACGTTGCTTTTATAGTCTACGCGACGTTTACTATAAAAAATTTCATGTATTAAACCATTTTAAATTTTGATAAACGCTATGTTGCAACAAAACCTTAATCATCCATAATTCTATCTATTAGGTGAAAGGTTAATATAATGTCAAGGATATACCAATATTTGATACGGAGTAATATTGTTTTATTTGAAACAATAAAATACTCAAAATAAAATGAATAAATTGCATACAAAAAAAAAAAGTAATTTGAAATGTTTTAATGATGGTAACAATGAAGTTAGATAATTAGTGATATTAATTTATAGGGTTGAAAAATATAGGTAACCAATGGGGCATGGCGGAGGCGATTGTTGCCTTCCCATCTTATTACCACCTAATATTTTCATCTCTATCCCCAATTCTAGGGTTGGTTCAAAATTCATTCTCATTCCCACCCTAATAGGTACAATATCAAAATAATCCCCGCCCCACCCCCCACTTGAATATCCATACCCACAAAATCTCCACCCAAGATCCGCTTAATTCCCGCCTCCCAATAAACAATACTGCATTATTAATATAGGTTAAAATAAACAAAAAATTATTATTGTTAATATTACACACTTTTTTGTTTATAATGAAGTGTACTACAGGATATTATACTTCCTTTGTTTTTTAGCTATATCATTTTAATTTTTAAGGACTCCTAGGCAATTTTTAGAGTAGGGAGAGGTAAAGAGAAAAAAATAAATAAAGGGCCTACGTGATAAGAGAAAGAGTGAGTGAGTGAATAAATGATACATCTAAATTGAAACTACCTTATTTAGAAAATGGTCATCTAATAAATGAAAAAAAATATTTAATTGTTATTTTATTTAACATAAATTTCTATATAAAATAGTATAAAAGTATGTAATTTCTATATAAAACAGTATAAAAGCAGGGGCGAAGCCAGGATTTTAAAGTTATAGGGGCCGACTAAAACTTTAATAAAAAAATTAACGTGAAAACGGGTTTGATCCTATGACCTAATTAAAACCCCAAACAATGGGATTCAAACCACTACTGCGGCAATCATTAAATACAACTTTTTTTTTTTGGTGAAAATCATTAAATACAACTTAAGTTATAACAAAATATTACTACTCCCTCCGTGTTTTAATAAGTGTTTTCACTGTTCTCACTATGCACATAATGATTTTGACTTGATTAATTTACAATATATGAAAATCAAATGTCATTGTATAATACATCGTTAGATTTGTTATAATATATAACTTTCATAATATCAACTTTTCTATAACTTTACTAATATATAATTACATAAATTAATGGTCAAACTTGTGCCTCGGCATATTTGGTCAAATTGTAACACTTATTAAAAACACGGAGGGAGTATATCTGTTTCATATTATTTGCAATTATTAGACAGTTTTTCTCTCTACTTTATGTCAAATAATTGCAAATAATATGAAACAGAGATAATATTTATTTGAAAAACTTATAGGGGTCAACAGTTAAGATTAAAGGCAACGAAATTGGTCCATGGGGGCCGGGCCTCCACCCGCCCCCCATGTAGCTTCGCCTATGTATAAAAGTATGGGGCAGGTACGACCAAAAATCTAGCCCTATGGTAAGTCTATTTTATATCCCTATCCTCGCTCCACCACCCCTCAAACTAGGGCGGGAATGGGGCGAATCTCCTCCTTGATCCTCCCCATTGACATGACTAGTTGAAAACAATAATAATGGCAAAGGATCGAAAGTAAGTTGGAGAAAATTTCTGATGAATCTATCATATACATTTTAATTTCCATTTCAATACATAGATTTGAAGGCTACTCCCTTCTTCCCTTTTTTACATTCCTATTTTGCTTTTTGGATATTCCAAAATTACATTCCTTTTTTCCTTTTTTATTAGTAAGTATTTTTTTCAAATATCCCAAATTATCCTTTTTTTTTCCTGTTATGTAATTAATGTTCACTCATATTTTCTCACTCTTACTTTCCTATTCTCACTCCTAAATTTAGATGAATATGATTGGTTCTTAATTTTCTAATAGGAGCATGTTATTTTTTTTTTTTTTGTGTGTGCAAAGGATTGATAACATGTTATCATTAAATATTAATTAATCTTTGTTTTACTCAAAGACATCATTTAATGTTTTGTACTTCCCATTGTGCTTTGTTTTATTGTTATTTGTTTTATTCTTAATTCCTTAATTCCATGTAATTTTACAAACAGGAATATAAAAAAGGGACAGAGAGAGTATTATTTTTAGAGCAAGTTAACAAGGGGTTCATTATTCAACTGCTCTAGAATAATTATATTGTACTCGAAATTTGAGTTTCATACTTAAGAGTAAAGTTTCTTTTTTAATTAAGAACTCCTCCAATTGAGCCCATAAATCTATATATTTGTACATAAAATGGGCTATGAACTAGAAGAAGGATAAAAGCAAAACCTATCAATTCCTATGACCAACAATGGTCTAGTTATATCTAATCTTTACGAAAAAATGATAATATCAAACAGATACACCATGATTAGGAGAAAATATTGCTAAACAAGATCTTAAAATAATTTTGACTAAGGGTATGTTCACTTTTACTTAATTTCAGTTTAGTTTAGCTTCAATCAGTTCAATTTAGTTCAATTCAGTTCAGTTCCAATCAGTTCAGTTCAGCTCAATCCAACTCCTATTTCCCTCTCTCATAAAATATCTATTTCGGCTTAGTTCAGTTCAATTTAGTTCAGTTCAGCTCTAATCAGTTCCGATCAGTTCAGTTCAGTTCAGTTCATTTCATCTCAATTCACTAAATGTGAGCAGACCCTAAGAGCATTACCAACTGTTAAGCAAGATCAAAAGTAACTTGACTGGTGAAATCAACACTATCAACTATGTCAATATTGGTTTTATACGTCTTTATATACATATATACATATATACATATATATATATATATATATATATATATATATATATATATATATATATATATATATATATATATATATATATATATATATATATATATATATATATATATATATATATATATATATATATATATATATATATATATATATATATATCATTCCCCTTCACATAAGACTCTTTTTAGCTTGAAGTGTAAACTCATGTCCAACGCTGCTATATTGGGCGAGACAGCGGCGGATCCAGGATTTTCGAACTTATGAGTCACCATTAATAATTAATCACTTATTTCAATCCAAAAATTATATAAAAAAAATTATATTTCACCAAAATGATTTCAATCCAAAATTAGGATATAAAAATACATACTATAAACTATTACATTAAACTAACTTTATGATTTTTTACTTAAAAACAAGAATTATTAAAAAAAATTGTTAGATAACTTAAGAGACCGGTTATTAAATATAACAGGTCTCTTTAATGAAATATGAAAGCAGCTCAAAAAATTATGCAAAGCTGACAAAAAGAGACCTGTTATCTAGATAACAGCTCTCTAATGACGTGGTGGTAATAGCAGCAATAAAGAGATCACCTATCTGATATTTTAATAGGCGGTCTATTTGATATTTAAAAAACTGGCAGTAGGTTAATCTCAAATAGAAGCAACAAAGAAACCTCATATCTGTAATAGGCGGTCTCTTAGTAGTTTTTTTTTTTTTTTTTTTTTTTTTTTTTTTTTTTTTTTTTTTTTGTGCCGGTGAGTCACGTGACTTACTGTGCACCTTAATAGATCCGCCCCTGGGGCGAGAGCGACGGGTAAATACGGAGTAGTATTTAAACTAGTGACTTTTTTTGTTATGCTTTGCTATATATAACTCTCAACATATTTTAATATGTATTACACTTATAAAATCTACCGTATTTTAATAACTATTACACTTATACAATCTACCGTATTTTAATAAGTGTTACATTTTTTTTTATATAAAAAAATTACATTTAAATATTATATTTTTCTCATCTCATGGTCCCCATCTAAACTCACTACGAAATATTACTTTTTTAAATATATTTTCCTCTCACATTTATTACTTTTCAATAAACTATTAATTCTACTATCTTTTGTTAATAATTTTTTTTTTAATACGCAAACTATCTCACTTATATTTTATTTTATTTTATTCAATTAAATTTCCTAAAACTATGTGCCGATCAAACAGTAACACTTATTAAAATACGGAGGGAGTATAACTTACTTAACCAAAAGTTTAAGTTTTTTGACAACCAAAAGATTAAGTTGATAATAGAATCCCTATGGCTGATTTGAAGCTAAGTAAATAATTTATTATTTGTTAGAATCATTTCAATCAATAAATTATTATATTCAATTATTACTGTTAAAAAAAAATTATTATAACTTTTACTTAATTTATTACGATTTACAAATCAAAATTTTACATCTGACATACGTGCATAAAACTAACGTTTTACCTACAAATATACAAACTGTACTGTGTCGAGAATTCGAGATACACCATTGTTGAATTGTTAAATCCGCGAGATTGAACACATCATTTAAAAAAAAAAAAATTTAGTTCCCACATACTATACTATATACGAAGTACGTAGTGTAGTATAAAACGAAGTATTAAAAATTACCTTAGAAGTGAGAGAAGGAGATAGAGAAGGCATAATATCAGCAAGATGAGACTTGATCCTCTGAAGCGCCTCCTTAGTAAGACCTTGCGCCGCCGTAGTAACATCCTTGATCACAGACTCAAAGTAAAGCCTAGCATTCTCCAACGCCTCGGACGGTACCGAAGCAGCAGCTAGCTTCTCCATCAACCGGTCCTTTACCATACTCATTCTATTCTTTATATCATTTGCTACACTTATTACCACCATACTATTTCACTTTACTTCTATTTCTTGTTGATTTTTTTTTTTTTTTTTTTTTTTTTGACAAAGATTGAAAGATGATAATGTGAAGTATAAATTTTTTTGATAGAAAATTAAGTGTATTATTTTGTGTTAATTTTTGATACCATAGTTAGGAGAGTATAATTCTCTTTGCTTCTTTTATTTCATCCACAATTTTTATTGATTTGATGTCTTTTTTGTTCTTTTATGATGTTGAACCACTCATAGTTTTTAAAGGTGTTATATGGTTGATTTCTTGCTATTTTTGCTGGCTAAAATTTGATTTATTATTATTATATATTTTTATTATTATTATTATTTTTTTTTAAATTTTTTTTTGTGAAGTCTTATGTTTTGTTTTTATACTCCCTCCGTTTCTTATTTCTTGCAACAAAAGAAGGGTGCACGGTTCCCAAGTCAAAAGTTTTTAAGCATAATTATTCTAAAGTAAGGGCACGTAAATAATGTAATTAATGAGAGAGGGTGAATAATTAATTAAACAACTAAAAGCCCAGCACCACCACCGATGAACGCGGACGCCACCCAGAACCACCAGCAACGAAAAGCTACCACCTAGAACCACCAACAAAACCACCCAAAAACCACCCGAAACCACCCAGACTCACCCGAAACCACCAAGAACCACCTAAAATCGCCCAACGAAACCACTTCAACCCGAAACCACCCACAACCACCATCCAAACCCACAACACCAAAACCCCTCTTCCACCCCTGCGAAACCACCGACACCACCAGATCTAGACCCACCAACACTACCGAAAACGACCAGTTGCAAGACCCACAAAACCGCCAAAACTACTCTTCCACCCTTGCGAAACCACCGACACCACCAACAATACCAGAGCTAGACCCACGGACACCACCAACACCACCGAAAACGACTAGTTCAAGACCCACGCCACCAACCCCACGACCCTCCTCCACCCCTGCGAAACCACAAACCACAAAAACCACCTTTACCACCGAATGAAGCCACCAATTAACCAGATTTGAAACCACAAAAACCTGCCGACAACCCACCAGAACCACCCACGACACCACCAAAAGCATCGACGAACCACCAAACTCACCAATAACCAAATTTGAAACCCACTAAAAGGGTAGTTTAGAATTTGATTATGAGAGATGAAGATGATGAAATGATAGATGAAGGAGGAGAGAGAAAGATAATGGGTTTGATTAATTGGGTGTGATTTCATAGATAATCAATTTACTATAGATTAAGGTTATAATGGGTTGTAATTATGTGTACTATTATGTGTTAAAATATTTTAAGTAAGGGTATATTGGTCATTTTGACAGAAAAAAGTTTCCAAATAAGGAAAAAAACATTTGTTGCAAGAAATGTGAACCACCCCAAAATGGTAAATGTTGTAAGAAATAAGAAACGGAGGGAATATTACTTTTTTGGTGTTTCACCCGATTCACCCTTTACGTTAATCCGAATTCAGAGATCAGTTCTGTGTGGTTATGTTTCAGTCTCCTCCCTATTATTGTTGTGGGGGATCAAACACTAATCTTCCCTATCAAGTTTAGTCCCATTCACCATTACACAAACATCCAATTGGATTTTGTTTTTATATTGTAGTTATATACTCTACCCTATATTCCTCATTTATTTTATTTTTTAACAAAACCCTCTATGCCTCATTTTTTGTTTCTCTCCATTGCAAATAAATGGGTTAAACTTCAAAAAATTTGACCATAAATTCTCATTAATCAACAAGAGATAATATAGTCATTTAGGGATCTTCTTAGATTCATATTTAATTATATTAATTTCAAGTTTTTTTATATAAATTTTACGCTTATAGAAATAAAGTTATACTCCATCCGTCCTCATTTGATTGTTACTTTTGATAGAAAAATCATGGAAATTAAGGAGAAATTAAGGATATAATGGGAACTAAGTTAGAACCCAATCATTTTTTATTCAAAAAAAAAGTAATCCATGTAATTTATTAAACAACCAATGAAAATTAAGGACCACATTAGTAATCCATTTGATTTATTTTTAACCAATAACATTACACGAAACAATTACTTCATCCAATAGAATTACCCTATACATATTGATGACTAAGCTAAATATGTTTGATAGATAGAGAAAGTCATAGTTACAAATTCCAAAGGAGGGCTAGGAATTAATTAAAGAGGGCAAAAAAATATGAGGGTAAAATAGGAAGCCCTCATAATAAGGCCAAAAAAATATTGAAGTTTAAATTGTAATTTAATGGGTAGTATTTAATCAAAAAAATATTGAAGTTTAAATTGTAATTTAATGGGTAGTATTTAATCAAAAAAATTTGAACTGTGACAAACATTTAGGGGCACCCAAAATTGCAAAAGTGACAATCAAATGGGGACAGAGGGAGTATACGTTTTAATTTTGCACCTTGGAGACCGTGAAAAGTCAAATGGAGCAAAAAAAAAAAGGACAAAGGGAGTACATTACTTCATTTTTTGTTATATTCGTTTACTAACTTTCAATATAATATATGTACTAGTATGCTCCCTCCGTATTTTATGACTTGCTCCACTTTTCTTTTACGTTCGTATTTTTAATAATTGCATTATTTCTTTTTTTAATAAAAACTTTTAACAATATATTTTTACTATTTTTCTCCCTATTAGTAGTTCCTTCATATATAGTTTAATATCTTTCACATTTTCTCTCCCCCCACTTATACTCACTTTTCTTTTTAATTTTTTTTTATTCTTCAATCAACCCCATTTCCATCATAAAATAATACATTATACTATTTCTACAAAAATTCATGTTCAAAGAAATGAAACAAATATATGCACGTAGAAATCATACCCGCCCCTTTTTTCCTTTTCTCTCTTCTCTCTCTTCTCTCTTTTAGAATTTTAGTTTTCTTGGTCGTTTAGGCCGGAAATAGTCTAGTTTCTTCTGGGGTTTTCCCAATTTTCTGGGATTTTGATACTCATCCATGAATGGCAATTTAATTTTTAGGGTTATTATAAAATTTGGGAAGGTGGTTTGGATTTCTATGGATATGGGATTTGTCATCAACTGGTCAATCAAAACATTAGCATGGATTGCGGAGGTCAAAACTTGGAAAGATGCAAAGACATTGAAAACCATTGCTCGCGTCAAGCTTGAAGCAGTGGAGTATGAGTTATCCCAAATTTGCAAATTAGTTTTTAAATCTGTGGTTTACAAATCTTTATTATTGTAGATGCCATTTGGCTATTATTTAATGATATTATTGCTTCCCGTTCAAAAAAAAAAAAAATTGAAATGAAACAAATAATATAATACGGAGAGAGTATTTACTAATTTATTTGTGTCTATTAGCAGAACTTTAGAATAAACTTGTTTGTTCTAATGCCAAATTGTAATACATATTCTATTAGCGTTATACCTTTTTTTTTAAAAAAAACAAACCAAGACATTTCCTTTTGATATAAAGATAATAGTTTACCATGTAAACCCGATCACGATGATGTTAGGCCCTATTTACTTCACCTTAAAAAAAATATTTTGTAAAAATAATTTTTGTTTAGCAAAAATAAGTTTAGTTTAGTAAAAATAAGTTCAGTTCAGTAAAAATAATGTCAATTCAATAAAAATCAATAACTTTAAGAAGAAGTATAAGGCCCTATTCACTTCACCTTATTTTTACTGAACCGATGAAATTATTTTTACTGAACTTATAGCTAAGCTTAAATTATTTTTACTGATTCTCTATTCCCTCTGTTTTAGAATGATGCTCTTGTTTACGTAAATCGATGCAAAATTTCATCCATCTTTGACCACAAATATCTTTAATTTCACACTAGCAAAAATTATAAAAGTTAGATATTAATAATGTACTCATCAGGATGAATCAAACTATATCCCACTTGACTATATTTGATCTTATACATTGAGAGAAATTTAGAAAATTCTCTCTTATTTTTTAAAGTCAAAGGTTCCAAACAGGAACATTATTGTGGAACGGAGGGAGTTATATATTTCTTCTTGACAATCACTGATTATTATTGAACTGGAATTATTATTTTTACTCAATTGAAATTAATTTTACTGATCTAAAATTATTTAAATTGAACTAAAATTATTTTAAATGAATTGAAATTATTCTTTTAAGGTGAAGTGAGCAGGGTCTAACAGAAAATCAGTAAAAAAAAAAAATAATTTTAGCAAAAATAATTTCAATTCATTAAAATTAATTTCAGTTCAAAAAAAATAATCTAAGTTAAGAAAAAATATTTTTAGTTCAGTAAAAATAATTTCACTTTTTTTTAATAACAAAAATATTTGATTGAGTAAAAGTCATACGACATCTACAATAAAGATTCGACGCTAACAAATACATAAAATATTGAATCAAATAAAATTTCGCTTCATAAAACTATGATCGTCGAGTAGATTTTGCACTTTGGAACATCCCGCGCTTATGTCGATGGAAAATACAGCCTTGTTGGAGAGACAATCTAACGATACTTTGTAGCTGTGAGGATGTTTTGCTTTTGATTCATCTGTTTGTATTCGAAAACTCAATAACTTTTTTACCAACAAAATAATTTCACAACAATCTGTAAGATCTAATATCATGGATTCAAAACTAAGAAATTTCTCCCCCGAAAAGTGGAGATAAACCTTGTCTTTCAAAGGAAGTCGAAAAATCCTTGTCTTTCGAAGGAGATTGAAAACCTTTTCTTTCGAAGGAAAAAAGTTCCTCCCAAAAAGAGAAAGCGTTATTATAAAACTAATTTTTTTTAAATAATTTCACTTTAGCAAAACATAAGGTAAAGTGAACGAGACCTTAATCTATCTTAGAAAAATATCTTGGCATTTTATTTATTTTGAATAGTCTTGTCAACTTTAATAACGAGGAGTATCTTTTGTATACATCCGGTGTACGATAATTTATTATACATCATATCGGGGGTCACTTTTATCAAATTTAGGGTCACTTTTACAATTTTTTGTGTAACTTTTATCAATAAAGCATAAATATTTCGAAACTTTTTTTTATGTCAGGGTAACTATTATTCATATTAGGGTAACTTTTGCTCATTTTAGGATAACTTCGTAACGAATATTCGATTTATTTAAAAGTTTGTCTAATAAGGAGAAAATTCTAGAGCCACTTTTAACTTGCAAACTCATCTAGAGCATTCCATCCATTACATTCTGGCTAATATCTATACTATATATTAAA